GGACGCCAAAATCCCAAATTACTAGTATTTGGGATTTGGGATTTGGAATTTCGGCAAAAAATACTAATCATAATTTGAGATTTGGGATTTGGGATTTCGGCATTTGGGATTTTGGCATTTGGATTTTGAATTTGGGTGGCAGGTATAATTCTTATAGTTTTATTTAGTTTTGTTTATTAGTTTTAGTATTATTTCACCCGTTGTCTTTGTAAATTGTAGAAGGTTTACACGGATAACAGTGAGCTTTTATTTAAAGCCCCAAAATTTTTAAGGCTCAAGCCTTGTGAGTCAGGCCTTAGTTGAGCTTGGCTCGCGAGCCTATGAGCCTATAATATCAGGCTCAGCTCAGCTTGGATTGGCTCGGCTCGCTAGGCTCGCGAGCCTTAAAACCTATGAGGAGCTTTAAGTGTGATATATAAATTCCAAGATGTAAAAAATCTTTTTCTACACTATTGATAACTTCCTTATCCAATTTTCAAATTCCAATTAGCTGAGATAATTTCTGTAATTTTTTTTTGCTTTCACACTTTTGAAAACTTTCATTTTTATAATTCATAATATAACAAGCTATAAGTTTCCCTTGTGTTTCTTGTGGTATCATATAATCTTCATTTTCTAATTTATTACTAGAAGCTATAGAGGCTATTTTTTTTATTTTATTTATTATATGTGCTATTTCTATATCATATTCTTCATTCACCTCATAATCGATATAATTATTTTCTGCTATTTGATATATTTCAAGAAAGTTATTATGGTCATATTCAAAAATAAAAGTTTTTTCTTCACTAAATTCACCTGTATTGTTGTTATTTGTATTCATATTTGCTAAAAATTTGACAAAACTATCAAAATTTAACTTATGGAATTAGTTTTATAAGTTCACAATTTCGTTCACGATTTTAATTATAATTTTAACTTAAGACTGTTCATTCTTATGCTGGCAGAAAATGATGTTACTAGTTGACTTTTTGAATTAATTTTATTTTCAAAAGGTAATTTACAACTAGCAACTTATAAACAGTTACTTTAGTTTACAAATTGAGAAAGGTAATAGAAGAAGAATAAAAGAAATATTATAAGCTAAATACTATAACCAATTAAGGAACTTAAGAATTTATTATCACGGGTTTCAAATATTGATTAACGATTAAATTTTAAAGGTCGATTTAAGAAATTAAAACAAAGAGTTAAATATATTTATTAATAATTTATAAAATAGTAACAGAAATTTATAGATTAGAATTTATATTCAAAGAATATAAATTAATAGAGAATAATAGAGTTTTAATATGGAAAATATAAGTTTATTATGAAAAAATCAATAATCCAATTACTTTAGGATTATAAAATAATATTAATTCAATAGAATTAATTACAGTTGAGATTGTTTTCTAAATTTCACTATTTAGAATTATTCGAATTTTATCAGAAAACTATCTGAATCTATCTTGGAGTAGAGAGAAAACTTAACCTTTTTATAATATTTGATTTGGTCAATAAGTTGATCTGTAAGTTGGTCAAAATCTTGATTAGTAATTGTACCAATAGTTGATCACTAAATTGGTCAATCAGTTGGCTACTAAATTGGTCAGTAAATTGGTCAGTAACTGGGCTACTATGATCTACATTATTGATTTACATAATTCGTATTACACTACTAAATAAATAAATACTAATAACTAAATATACTAAATATACTAAAATAACTATACTAAATAAATAAATACAAATAAGAAATAAAAATAAAATAATAAGAAATTATAAGAGTGGAAAACTCATGATAACAACAGTTTAAAAATTTAATATCGCGAACAGGTGCATATGACCTGAATCTACACTGGTCGCAAAATTGATAAATCATACACACATCAGGTACTCGATATGTGTATAGTACATCCATAATATCAGGTGTTGTTACAGAATGAAAATATCATGATAATGAAATATTAGAACACCTATAATAATAATCTTTAAAATAATATTTAGAATTTAATTAATGAATGTTAGCTCATGTAACAATAATGACAATTTAATAATTCTTTTTAGTAAATATTTATAGTCTGTAACACACATTAATTAGTCGCGAAATAGTAGTACAAGATCACGTGTCCATGTGATATTTAGTTACACAAACATAACTATCAATTCATAAATTAATTATTATCACTTAACATTATTTAACAATAATTATTAACATATAGTATTAATTAGTATTAGATATATTTAGTA